CCTCCAAAACAGAGATTTATTTGTTCCTTCGCAGACCAGGGAATATTTAGTATTATCTAGTCCTGGGAAGCATAGTAAGTGAATGAAAAGATCATGGCCTGAATAAGGTAAACCTTAGTTCTCGGACTACTATCATTGCTCTTCAATAATTTGGAGAGGTCCCTGACTACAGATTTTCCTAGTGCACTATGCCTTCTGGTCTCCAAACTGCTGGTACCAAGTGTACTGGTTGTAGATCCAAGCAAGATGAAGTCATTGACACACACCCATATTTATTGCTGCATTATTCACAATAACAAAGAGATGAAAGGTACCCAAGTACCCATCAACAAATGAAGGACAGAAAAACTATGGTACATTGAAGAACAATGAACTTGTAAAACATTATACAACTTTGAGGAGCTTGGAGGACATTATGCTGAGTGAAATAACTCAGTCAGAAAAGGACAAATAATGCATAATACTGCTGTTATAAAACAGGACAGACATGGGAAGTGATTTGGGGAGAGAATGGGGAAAGAATAGATAGCTAATAAACACTGCATTAGAACAGAAGAGAGGAAGAAGAATGTTTTTAAAAGGAATGTATGATTATGCATCATATATATGAAAACAATATGGTACAAGATGTGCATTGCAGGGTGGGCTGGAGAAAGGGAAGGGATGCAGGGGAAGAAAATGTACAACAATGAATAAAAGTAATTTTTAAAAAAGATGAAGTCATTGGCAGTTTCAATCTTCTCTCCAACTATCATACTGTTGCTTATTGGTCCTATAGTGAGAATTTTTGTTTTCTGAATTGTTGAGATGCAATCCATATTGAAGGCTGTGGTCTTTGATCTTCTGCAGCAAGCACTTCAAGTTCTCCTCACTTTCAGCAAACAAGAGTGTATATCATCTACATAATGAAGGTTATTGATGTTCTTCATCCAATCCTGATGCCATAGTCTTCTTCACAGATTCTGGCTTGTTGAATAATTTGCTCAGCATATATATTGAATAGTTATGGAGAAAGGATACAACCCCGACACACCTTTCTTAATTTTAAACCATTCGGTGTTCCCTTGCTCTGTTTTCACAAAAGCCGTTTGGTCTGGGTAAAAGATGCACATTACACAATTAAGTATTCTGAGACTCCCATTCTTCTCAATGTTAGCCATAATTCGTTATTATCTGCACAAATGCCTTTGCAGAATCAATAAAGCATAGATAGACATTCTTCTGGTATTCTTTGCCTTCAGCCAGAATCTGTCTGACATCAACAATGATATATATCCCTGGTGCCATGGCCTCTTCTAAATCCAGCTTGAAATTCTGGAGGTTCTCTATGTAATGTCCTAGTCTTTTTCTGAATGATATTCAGTATTTTACTTGAATTGGATAGTAATACTATTGTCAATAACTTCCATTCTGTTGGATCACTTTTTAGGGGGGATGGGAACAAATATGGACATCTTCCAATCAGTTTGCCTGACAGCTATTCTCCAAATTTCCTGGCATAGACTTGTGAACATGTCCAGGATTACATCTGTCCTTTGAAACATGCCAATTGGTCTCCCATCTATTCCTGAGGACTTGTTTTTTGAAAATGCCTTTAGTGTAGCTTGAATTTCTTCTTTAATAACCATTGGCTCTTGATCATATGGTACTTCTAGAAATATTTCAGTGTCAACCAATTCTTTTTGATATGGTGACTTTGTGTATTTCCTCCATCTTCTTTTAATACTTCCTGTATCATTCAGTATTCTGCCCATAGCATCCTTAAGTATTGCAACTCACGGGTGTTCTTCAGTTCCTTCAGTTTAAGAAATGCCGAGTGACTTTTCCCCTTTGATTTTTCTGACTCCAGCTCTTTGCACATTTCATCATAATACTTTGCTTTGTCTTCCTGTACTGCCCTTTACAATCTCCTGTTCAGCTCCTTAACTTCAGCTTTCTTCCCTTTGCTTTGGCTTCTTTGCCTTCTAGTGCAATATTCAGAGTCTCTTCTGACATCCATCTCAGTCTTTTCTTCCTCCTCTGTCTTTGTAATGACCTTTTTATTCTTCCAGAATTATATTCTTGATATTGTCTCACAACTCATCTGGTTTTCATTCATTAGTGTTCAAGGCCTCAAATCTGTTTCTTAGGTGGTTTTTAAATTCAGATGGGATAGACTTGAGGTCAAATTTTAGTTCCTGTGGGTTTGATTTCATGTTCTTTAGCTTTAGTTTGAACTTGCATATGAGTTGCAGGTGACTTAAAGAAATAACATTTTTGAAGGCTCAAGGTTCAAAAGAAGGCCAAAGTACAATGGCCTAAGTGAGTCACTCCAACTTCTGGGACTCAAGAAGTCTGAATCCAGGCATATTAAGACAGTTCTTCAGAAGCCACCTTTTCAGAGAGGTTTCTCCCAGTCTCAGATTAATGTATTCCCTCCTCCCTACTCTCTGACACACTATCCTGCGGGATGCGTTTGAGGTCCTCTTCACCATACATAATTATCTGCTTTATTTACTAGTTTCTTTCTTGATTATTTTCTTCATCTGAATTTTTTAAAAAGCTTAATTTTCTATTAAAATCAGTAAATTCAACCTTTGTTTGTAGTGTAAAGTTCTTGGGATTTTAGGTTTCTGGGTGATGCAAAGGTTACTATGGTGGGAAGTGGTTGAATGCTCAGCTGCTACAGTTTGGTGGTTTGACCCTACCAACACCTCCATGAGAGAAAGTTATGGCCATCTGTTTTTTAAAGCCTGTAGTCTAGTGAGCCTTGTGGAACAGCTTGGCCCTGTAATACGCAGGGTGGTCATCAGAAGACATCAATTTAACAGTAATAGTTCTGGTTTTGGCTTAATCTTGGAAGTTCAACCCTCTGGAGTCACAGGGAAGGAGTTTTTCCTGTCTCTTTCTCATCCCACTGCTTAGTCCTAGTCCTAGAACAAAGGATATCACCGAGTATACACTTATCAATATTTTTGAATGAAGCAAATATTGAAGCCAACATATATATGATTGAAGTTGATACTGTGAAGGCAAATTTCCTCCCAGAACTGTAGCTTTTACTTTTAACATAAATCAAGACCAAGATTGTTTAGCTGACAGAATCTTAAGCAATTTTTATTGGTGCTCATCACATCTTTTATTTGCTGAGGAGGAAGAGAGAGGAAAGCAATGAGAAGATAAAAAGAAGAGGATTAAATTCTTTTCAGCTTCAGCCAGCTACAATGAGAAGTTTTCACATTTTCTGAGGCCCCAATTTGTAATAACTTTCCTCATGTCCAGAAATCTCAGTTCTTTGATAACTAGCAGTATATATTTATGGTTGGATCAGGGAAGGTAAAGCGGGAAAAGGGAAGAGAGATAAAAAAAGCTGAGGCTCAACTTTCACCCAATTAAATTCTGGGAGTTAGCTACCAGAATATATACCAGGGAACAGAATTTTCTGGATTTTTCTTACTTGTGTGTCTACTTGTAAGGAATAGGTCCATATGTGTTTGTTCAACAAGGAATTCTAATTTCATTACTTTGACAGGAAAGTAACAAAAGGAAATTAGACGAAGGATCACTCATAACCATCCTGTTTAAGACAATGTCAGCTTACTAGCACCTTTGGAAATTTTGGCCTCCTCAAAGTCATATCTTATTCTATTGTCACTGTAATGCTCCATATGAATATTAAAATTACTCCCCAATAGATCAAATGTGATTTATTGCCTAGTGACTTTAAAATAAGTCCATGATACCATGAGTAGACACACAGCTTGATGTGGGTCGGAAGTTAAACTTGCAAAAAGTAGCTCTCATTCTTGGTATGAACAGTGATCCTTTGATGCATTTTATAAACATCTATGACAGTTGAGGCACACCTCAGCTTGCATCTAATTTGGAGATTTGTAGCTTAATTTGCATATTCCAATAAGACTTTGCAGATAAATGTCATTGGGGGTGAGTTCCAGTTCTCCTATTGCATGGTTTGAGTCTCTAGTCCCTAGTATTTTCACAAGTTTTCTCTAGTATATCCTTTGTCACTGCCCCAAGAGATATGTTGGGAGCAAAAGTGTTGCAATGTATTTCATCCTCAGGCTCCCTTACCTTGAACTCTGGAAGTCAAGTTACAGCCTGCTTTGTAAGATAAAGATCAGACCCTATAGATAAGCATCTAAGGTTCTTCTTGACCTGGCCTTTCCCAAGTCATTCACCATAATTATAATTTTACTTATCGAATCCATTCTTTCTTTTGCTCTCTGTTCATTTTGCCTGATACTCTCTTTTCCTCATATATCTTTGGTAAAGCCATTCTTTCCTGGTACTTGTTTCTTCTTTGGGTAAAGAAAGCTTGAGTCATTTCTCCCAGGAAGTCTACTTTGATCCTTCCCTCCAAGTCCTATTATGTTCTTATTATATTTTATCCTTTCCCCTTAATGTTCCACCTTTCACTGTATTCTAATCACAACGTCCCTGGGTGGTGTAAGTGGTCTTCTGTTAATCTAAAAGCTGGGAGTTCAATCCCACCCAGTGGTGCTGTGGGAAATAAAAAAGACCTGGCAATCTGCTTTAGTAAATATTATAGTCACTGAGAATTCAGTAGAATGATTCTTCTCTGCAACACACAGAGTTGTCAGTTGAAACTGACTCAACGGCGATAGCTTTGGCTTTCTGTTGTAATTACATATCTGATATCTGTCTTTCACACCAAACCATAAACTTTAGGTCTGTTTTTCTTGCTCATATAACAATAGGTCCTGAAAAGATTGTCAATAAATATTTGTTGAGTGCTGAATGGATTCTAAACTAGAAAAGATCAAACAGGTTTGTCTAGCTTGATGTTTCTAGATGGCAGCATGAAGCATACACAGAAGGACTCCAAGTAAGTTCATTATTGGGGTAAAAAGTAACGGGGACATCTTGATATTTCCTCTTGAAATGCTGAAATTAAAAATAGTGAGTTTTTCAATCCATACATTTCTAGAATTTTGCTTGATCCCCAATATAAATATCCTGCTCTCTAGGTACATTGGTGGTCAGGAAGAAGAGCTGATTTTCCTGTTGACTAGCTTCCTCAGAGCCCCCTTCAGGTCCTTGTTCCTCAGGCTATAGATAAAAGGGTTCAGCATGGGGGTGACTGCAGTGTACATTACAGCAGAAGCCTTCTCCTTCACAGCTGTGCGGACAGATGAAGGACACAGATAGACTCCAATGGTAGTCCCATAGAAGAGGGCTACCACGGAGAGATGGGAGCTGCATGTAGAGAAAGCTTTCTTCCTGCCATTCGCAGAGGGGACCTTCATGATAGCCACAATGATGCGCGCATAGGAGGCCAGGATGCAGATGAAAGGTGTGGCTATTACCATTCCTGCCACTATGAGCACAAAGATCTGGTTCACAGTGGTGTCAGTGCAAGAAAGTCGGAGAAGGGGTGTGAGGTCACAGAAGTAGTGAGGAATTTCATTGCTGCCACAGAAAACCAGACGAGCCATCAGGAGGATGTGGGTGAGGGAGATGAAGCAGGAAAATGTCCATGGGCCACCAGCCAGCAAGCCACAGAGGCGTGGGCTCATGATGGTGGTATAGTGTAAGGGGTGACATATGGCCACGAACCGGTCATAAGCCATCACAGCAATTAAAACACTGTCCATGATGCCAAAGAAGTGGAAAAAGTACATCTGGGTCAGGCAACAGGCATAGGAGATGGACTTGCTTCTAGTTTGGATGCCCACTAGCATTTTGGGCACCGTGTTGGAGGCTAGGCAGAAATCCACCAAGGAAAGGTTTGCCAGGAAGAAGTACATAGGAGTGTGAAGATGGGAGTCATAGCTGATGGCCAAGATGATCAACAGATTCCCCACAGCTGTGACCATGTACATGCAGAGGAACAGAGCGAAGAGGATAGTCTCATGGTCTGGCTTTTCCGAAAGTCCGAGGAGGATGAATTCAGAAGCACTGGTTTGGTTCCTTGGTTCCATGGGGATTATTTCTCTGTAAAGACTAAAAGGAGAAGTTACGTGTTTGCTGTGCTAAGGCAAAGATTCTGGAAGTCAAACCAGGTTATACTCAATTTTCCACTCCAATTTCTATCTATTTTACACCTTATCTCACTGGCAAAGTCTTTACAGGAACTCATAGTCCAAGAATCAGTTCAAGGTACTTCTCTTGAATGTGTCCACTTTATATAAAGCTTGAGAAAGTGTACCATGCACAGATCTTTGATGGAAGAAATAATAATGGACACATTTAAGAATAAAAGAAATTGAACTAGAAAGAGCTGAAGTCAAAAGAATGATGTTTAGGCCAGAAATTTACATATAGGAAACATCTATAAAATAGAAAAAACAATAAGAAGAAGAATGTTACTGTCTGGTGTACACAACTTACCCTTGATTCCTCGACTAACAATTGATATTTTAAATCAACCTAGAGGCACTATGAGAGAAAGATCTAGAAATATGCTTCCATAAAGATTAAGGAAAGAAAACCTAGGTTTACTCTGTAACACATTGGATCACCAAGAATCAGACTCAACCATTTGACAGCAGGTTTTAATTTTTTTTTTGTCATTAGTCTGACATTTAAAAATTTTTATATACTCTAGTATGGTACATGTTGTACCAATTGGCAGCATCAGGATGGATGGTGAAGAGATTGAGATTGTACACAGCTTTGGTTTGCTTGGCTCCATAGTCAACAAACAGTCTTGGCACCAGCAGCCAGGAAATTAAAAGGCACATTGCCATGGGAAAGTCTGCTGTTAGGGACCTCTCCAAAGTACTGAAGAACAATGGTGTCTCTCTGGAGACTAAGGTGCATCTAATACAGGCCATGGTCTTCACAATCACTTGTTATGCATCAGAGAGTTGGACAATGACCAAGGAGGATAGAAGGAGAATCGATGCCTTTGAGCTGTGGTGCTGGAGAAGAGTATTGAGAATACCATGGACTGCTAGGAAAACAAACAGATTTGTCCTGGAAAGGGTTAAACCGGGTGGCTCCTTGGAGGCAAGGATTCTGAGGCTCTGTCTAACATACTTTGGACATGTTGTGAGGAGAGACCAGTCCTTAGAGAGGGACATCATGCTTGGGAAGGTGGAGGGACAGCACAGGAGAGGAAGGCCCTCCATGAGGTGGATTGATTCAGTGACTGGGGTAATTGGGATGGGTGTGTCAGAGACAGTGCGATTGCCACAGGACAGAGCGGAGTTTAGAGCTGTTGTACATAGGGTCGCTATGAGTCGCAAGCGACTCGACGGCACATAACAACAACACAACACAACACAACAACTAGTATGATAATACCATATATTGACATTTGGCGCTCAGATCCCTATCACTTTCTTACAAAAGTGCTTATTAGATTAGAAAACATGGCTATTTTGAGCCAGCAAATCCCCTTCTATATTACAAATCTAATGTAGATATAATGTGGCCTGTGTTAAGAAGTTACACTGCAATCTCAAAGACACTCAGTTCAAATCCACCCGCAGCTGTGTAGGAGAAGGGTGGGCAATCTTCTATTCAATTAACTGTCTCTGAAAACCCACTGAATAGTCAGTTGTTTTCGGTTCAAACTCAATGGTACACAACAACAACAACAATGTAGGGAGCTGCATTGCCAATTCAAAGGTATATGGTTTGAAAATACCAAGTGATTAAAGGGAGAAAGATGGACAAATCTCTTCCTGTGTGATTTACAGCCCCTGAAAACCTTTTGGAGACTCAGCTATGAGTCCGTTCCAATTTGATGGCTCCGTAGGAGAAGAATAGGCAGTCTCCTCCTGTGTAATTTACTGCCTCTGAAAACATATTAGAGGGTCAGCTCTGAGTTAGTTCTGACTCAGTGGGACACACCACCAGCATTTTGTTTGGAAGGGTGGAGGGTCAGCACAGGAGAGGAAGACCCTGGATGAGACGGATTGACACAAGGACTATGGCAATGGGATCAGATGTATCAGAGATGGTGAGGTTGGCTCAGGAAAGGGCAAGTTTCAGAGCCATTGATCATAGGGACACTATAAGTTGTAGTTGACTTATGCCACACAACAACAATACCAACCACCAACATTTCTTACTCCTCCTCCTGGCCATTATTTTTTCTATCATCTTTCCCCAGGCTGTCCAACCCATTCTAAATATAACCACCAAGGCAACACTTTTAAATATGTAAATCAGTTCAGAGCAAGGAAAAAGAAAGTAAAAAAGGTTGTTGTTGTTATGTGCCGTAGAGTCGCTTGCGACTCATAGCGACCCTATGTACAACAGCCCTAAACTCCGCTCTGTCCTGTGCCAATCGCACTGTCTCTGACACTCCCATTCCAATTATCCCAGTCACCGAATCAATCCACCTCATAGAGGGCCTTCCTCTCCTGCGCCGTCCCTCCACCCTCCCAAGCATGATGGTACTAAAACAGTTAAACCAGAAACTTCAATTTCTACAACCCTAAAACCAGAAGAACTAGATGGCGCCTGGCTACCCCGCTTGATCCTCAAAATGATCACAGTAAACGATTCTGAGCCAAATAGGATAAAAATGTGGAACAAAACTAAAAAACATTTTTTAAAGGCTGGGAGTTGCTGGTCTGAATAGAGACTGGTGGAACCCTAGAGACTATGACTCTGCATTCAACCTGTGGCTCCACTTTCAGCTAAGCCATAGACACATCTATAAGGTGACCAATGGTATCAGGGAAGAACTCATTCTTTAAAATAGCAACCATATGAGGTCAAAAGAGCAGAATTTATCCAAAAGCAGGATGGGGTAATATAGAAGAATTAATGGGAATGTGAATTATAGGAAGAAAATAAGAAAGTGTGATCATATGCCTGCTAGATGAAGGCTCTATTCTGGGGGAGTGAAGAATATCAGGGAAATGTTTACTTGTATTCTATTCATTATGCAAAGACAATATTATTGTGTGGTGCAGTGGCATCATAAATTATGGAAAACTTTGAGAAGAATTTCAGAACACTTAATCATGTTTATGCAGAGCCTGTACATAGGGCCAACAAGCAGTTGTTCAAACAGAGCAGAAGATACTGCACGTTTTAAAAATCAAAAGATGTGTGATCCAGGTTGCATCCTTTATCCATATCTATTAAATCTATAATAATCCAGATTCTCAGGTTATATGGAGAAGAATGTGATATTAGGATTAAGGGAAGACTCATTAACAACCTATGCTATACACAAGACACAACTTTGCTCTTTGAAAAAACTTGAAGGACTTATTGAAGAAGATAAAAGACTGCAACCTTTAGTATAGATTATATCTCAATACAAAGAAAACTTCATGTTGAGATGTAATCAATACACAAAAAGACCATCATGATAAATGGGGGAAAGAGCTAATTTGTCATTAATTTAATTTTACTTGGAGTTACAATCAACACCCATGGAAGCAACAGTTGAGAAATTAAAACCTTTGCATTGAGTTAACCTGTTGCCAAGGACTCCTTTAATCTATGTTAGTTTAAAGACTATTTGTGATTGACCCAATTTATGGTATTTGCAATCATCTCATATGCAGGTGAAAGCTGGACAATGAATAAGGAAGACCAAATAATTGATGACTTTGATTTATGATATTAGAGATGAATATTGAATATGGCATGGAATGCCAAAAGCACAAAGCTGTCTTGGGTGAAGAACAGCCTGAGTATTCTATAGGAACTAGCATAAAGAGATGTTGTTTTGGATACTTTGGGCATATTCTCAGGAGGAATTTGTCCTTGGAAAAGGACATGGTTCTTGAAAAAGTATCGTCAGATTTAAAGTACTTTAGCCATTTTATAGAGTCAATATATACATTTTATATTTTTGTCTTTCTATATATGTACTGTTAATTGTATCTTATGAACAATTTGTGTAAAACAAGTTAGCATAGAAACTAGCCAATAGTTAATTAAATATATAGTTCATTAAGGCATTATTCCCATAAGTTCAGCTTTATAAAGATACTAATTAAACTTCCCACTGCATTCCCAATGTACTGGTGTCATAGTCTTACCAACAATGACTGTGTTAAGTTTTAATGCCATAATGTAGGAGGCATAACCTGAAAAATAAGAGTGAAAATTATTTCTATGCAATTATCTAAAGGGTCAGATTCAATCCCTGTTATCTTGTTGTATAACCAATTATTTCCCAGAGCATTGCCCCTCAGTTTGGTAGGATTACATCTGAGTTGTTCATGTTCCAAAAACAGAAATAGTTTTATAACATATAACTAACTTGATCCTGTTAGGTGCATCAAATATTGAGTTAAGAAATAATATTATCTCTTGTTTTGATATTTTCTTTAGGTGCATATTTAATATTGGATTTCCTTTATGGAATAACTAATTTTTTAACTTTTTTACTGGTTAGTATTTCTAATTTCTTTTTACCTAAACTTTTCCATCTTTGGAAGGGAAGTTAGACCTTTTATTGTGGTTGTCCGAATTGCTAGCAGCAGTACTAGTTAAGCAAGTACCTTCCTTTAAGTCCATTCCCATTCACGCAAGGCAGGACTCTATAGATAGAGAAGTAGAGTGAAGCTTCATCTCACATACTTTGAACATGTTGCTTCTTGTTCTTAGGTGCCACCAGGTTGAGTACAACCCAAGGTGACCCTATGAACAACAGATCTGAGCCCTTTCCTATCCTGTGCCATTCTTGCCATCTCTGGCATGCTTGGGCATGTTGCTAGGAGAGGCTGATCTTGGAATGGGAAATCATACATTGGAAGTCAGAGCATTGGTGAGAAAGAAAAAAACAACTCAGCAAGATGGACTGACATGGTGACTGCAGCAATGAGATCTGTTATTCATAGGGTCACTATGAGTCTTACTTGACAAGAGGTTGCCCGTACATCTTACAACTGCTATCCATAACCATAGAGCTCTGTCCAAGTGACAGAAGGTTTAAGAGGCTCAATGACAGCTTTAAAGTCGATCCTAAGGGAAGAAAGAAGTCACCTGTATGTACAAAGAG